TCCCACCCAAAAATTTGTTATTTTTGCACAATTCCTGCATTATTTCATCATTCCTGCGTTACGTATATGGTAATTAATATGTAATGCTAAATCTTTAATGCACGAGTTTCTCGATTTCACATATTTTCTTTTGTATAGAGAACAATAGAACAAGGTCGGTATCCATTTGCAGACCTGTAAAGCGGTCGGTAAGTGATTTACTAGACCGCTTTTAACAAAGGAGCCGGTAGGTAATCAGTTTTACCAACCACTCAGAGCGAAATCATTTTTAAAGCTTAGAAAAACAATTATATGAAACTAAAAGTTGACACTTGATAAGGATAAATCATAGATTTAGAGATACAGGCCAGCTGTTGTACATTCTTTTTGAAACAACTTACCTTTAGTTTTTATTTAATACGAGAATGAATACGCTTGAAATGGAAGCATAAAAAGTGTGAAATGTCAGTGTATATTAAATAATTGGTCACGAGGATGAATTAATTATAATATATGTATCTGTTTTCTTTTAATGAGTATTTTAATGAGTATATGGAGAAAAAAATGAGATAAACTAAATAGATAAGAGAAGAAAAAATAAAATCAGGAAAACATATTGTCAAACAAAAACTTAATGTGGTTAATACGTTTTTGTGTCGCCTCTACGGAATAGTGGCGACATATAGGGATCACTTCTCCGTCGTCTGTCTGTCCGTCTGTCTGTCTGTCTGTCCGTCCGTCCGCCACAAAACTTGTCCGGACTACTCCTCATAAACTACTTGTCCAATGATTTTTGTCAGAGTTATGGCCCTTTAATAATTTTTAATTTTAAAGTTTGTCCGGACTACTTCTCTTATACCACTAATGCAATTTCAATGAAACTTTACAGGATTGATCTGTAGCTCAAGTCCTTGCGCATATTGCACGGGTTTTCCGGTTGAATGATTTTTAGCCGAGTTATGGCCCTTTGATAAAAAGGTGTTTTTTTCTGTGTGTTGCCAGATACACAAAAGCTTGTCCGGACTACTCCTCATAAACTACTGGTGCAATTTCATCCAAACTTTACAGGAATGATCAGTACCAAGTCTAGTTGTGCATATTGTCAGCATTTTTCGGTTCAATGATTTTTTTAGAGTTATGGCCCTTTAATAATTTTTATTTTTAAAGTTTGTCCGGACTACTTCTCTTATACCACTAATGCAATTTCATTTTGAAACTTTTACAGGATTGATTTGTAGCTCAAGTCCTTGCGCATTTGCACGGGTTTTTCTGCGTTGAATGATTTTTTGGTCGAGTTATGGCCCTTTGATAAAAAAAGTGTTTTTTTCTGTGTGTTGCCAGATATGCAAAAGCTTGTCCGGACTATCTCCTCATAAACTACTGGTGCAATTTTATCCAAACTTTACAGGAATGATCAGTACCAAGTCTAGTTGTGCACTGTCTGACTGTCTGTCCGTCTGTCACAAAATTGGCCATCATGAGCGACACATGTGATTACTGATTCGCTCTTTGTTGTAACTTAAACATAGTTAACATGTTCTGACTCGTGATATGATATGGTATGAAATCATGTTCCGTGAAAATATTATTCGAAGATACCATACAACAAAATTACACAATATATACACTGGGATTGGTGTATCAATGTGTAGGTGACCTCTTTCATGCATTGTTTATTTTTCCATATAGATACAAAGAAGAATAAGTCTACGTAATCTATTTACCGCAGTCAAAATGGTATGTTAGAAAAAGCGTATTTTTGGTCATTCTATTAGAAAAGTAAATTTATTGAAAGTGTAACCATAGCGGTTTTGAGGACATGTACATGTATGAAGATCTGACAAAAATGTGTTTATGCTGCATCAATGTTGATCCTGTATTAGAAAAATAGACATATGAACTATAAACATTATAAATGACTATATAAATAAGTATATAAATAAGTATATAAATAGGTACATGTATATAAGTGCATATAAATATATGTAAGGAAACATAAACAACTATGTAATTAAGTGCGAATAACTATATCAATAAGTCTAAATACATGTAACTTGGTATACGTCGTTTTTATAGTCGTATACTTATTATATCTTTAGTATAAATCTATTCTAAGAATTATTATTATTCCTAAGTGTTTTAATATTGATTTGCTTAAGATAAATATAAACACTATATAAGACAGGAAGGTCAAACATTGTTTCATAATTCCGGTTAGTTTTTGCGTATCAGTTCATAATACCTTACCAAAGGGCGGGACGAAAGGGGTTGCACACTTGGTTCAAGCGAGAAATTATCGGTTGGCTAAAACTTGACAAAAAATGGGCTATAAACATTGCTAAAGGAATGGGCTGATTAAAGAATATCAAAAATAACACACCAATGTTCTCCGTTGAACCAAGTGTGCAACCACTTTCAATGCCATGAGCCTCGTTTTAAATCCTCATTAAAAGTGTTGTTAAGAAAGAGTAACCGGCAGCGATAATTAATTAATCAAATACAGAAGGGCGCTGAATTTGTTTTTGGGTCGCTCAAGAATCATTTTGAAATTATATGTATAGTGCCACCACAATTCGCTTTCCAGCGTTTTAATTGTTAGTAAATTGGTTATAAGACTAATTTGAAACACGTTTTCCAACCCAATGTTTTTTGATTTAAACAATTTAAAAAAAAAGAGTTCCCTTTTTACGGTTTTGAACTCCAGACCTTTTCCCCTTCCAAACGAGCGCAAAAAACCCTTCACCACGGTGAAGGCCCTGAAAAAAACCATATTATTTTTTTTTCTTTAAATTGGGGCTTTTAACGACTTTAACTGTTTAACACAGATGAAAATAACCCTGGACTTACTATAAGCATGAAATTTTTTATAAAAGAATAAAAAAAGGCTCAATTTGGGTATTTTCGACTTTGCAATCTAAACCCTACGTATATATGTATGTTTTTTCCTGTAAAAGGTTTTTTTTATGTTTTAAAAATTTTTTGGGGGGCACCAGATTTTTGAAAAACATACGTTTTTCTGCATAACTAGATTGCATGCAAAATATCATTTAGTTCATTTTTTTACGACAGCCTTCACTTTAATCCTTGCATATCATGGGCTACTTCCTTAACAAAGACACTAAAAAAAATTAAAAAAAAAAAAAGTTTTCCTCGACTGGGGATTTTGAACTCCAGACCTCTCACTCACTAAGCGAGCGCGTTACCCCTGCACCACGAAGAAAGTTATACAAACCCAATTTGTCTGAATAACATTAAGTCATTCTACATTTAGAACTTCGCATTGCATTCGGGGGCTTTTGTAAATTCCTTATTAATTTCGACGGTATTTTGTTCGGATTAAACCTGTTGGGTTTAAAATGAAGTATATAATTAAGCCGAAAATCTTCTCGCCCAAAACAGTCGCGACATGTAGAATTCTAATATTTCCACTACTCGGTTGGGTGTAGTAATCGTAATCCGACATTCGCTAAAAATAGTTTCATTTCATTGATAAAATCATATTTTCATTCCGCGAAAATTTTTTATGTGCATTTTTTGACAATTCTAAAAGGTCAACGCTTTTTTTAAAATTTTGAATGCGTTGTAATTTGTTGGATACTTGTAAAAAAAATAAAATTTTTTCTTTCTTTTAAATCGCTATTTTTTAGTGTTTTGAAAAATTTTTTGTTTTTGGGTTTGCGGTAAACTTCTGTGTCGATTTTTGGAATGCCCGTTTTTGTATTTATTTTAAATTTTCGATCGGGAAAAAATTAAATAAAAATTTTTTGGGAAATTTTCGCCCTTTTCCCGGGAATTTTTTTTCCCTTAAAACTTAAGGGCCCTGTCTTGCCCATTTTTACGCAGTGACCCCCCTAAATTTTTTTGGGCGTTTGTGTCATATAAAGGGAAGAAACCCGCTTCAAAAAGTGAACTTGGGGCATTTGCAATTAACAGCATTAGACTCTAAAAAAACTAGCCGGCCCACCTTCTTGCAGACTATGGGTTCATTCAAATGAAACCTGGTAAAAAACACTCCCACGGATATCCCAAATGTCAAAAAAGACTTAACAAATGGCTATTTTTGTTGAAAAAATGACTCGACAACAACTTAAGATTAACGTGGCATTTTCTACATGCTATAAGTCCGGTTTACAAAGTACATAACGCCTTGACTAAATAATGTCTTTTGTTTGTTTGTTTTTGTTTTAGAAGTTGCGCGAATAAGGTGGACTTTCGCACTGCCATACATTCTGTTAAATCATTATATTGAACGCTGGCCCTGCATAAAATTAAATACTTTCTATAATAAGTCTATGGATTTCAATTTGAGCAGACCCTAGTAAAGCGTCTGTCCAGATTGCAGACACACCTGGCTCTTTACTTGCAGTATAAGAAAACTATCAACATTTCCAGCCTTTATAATAAGGTTATTAATATGGGTTATCATAGGTTATTAATGATTAAAATATTCATGGATATCATACAATTATGTTTATGATATTTACATGGCATATGCAATGTTTTATAATTTTAAATAATATAACGTTTCGTTAGTTCTTATCATAAGAAACAAATTAAAAATAAGTATTGATACATTGGTAAGTTAAGGCATAATTATCATAATCTAATGGATCATTCTTCTCTCTTTGTCTTTTTAATAACACTAGATGTTTTTAGTAATACTTAATTTTTGGTTGATTTAAATACATGTATATTTTTATTCAAAGTATATATTCATGTTAATAATTTACTATATTAAGCAGAAAGGAATTGGACCGAGAACTACAATAGCTCATGGTAGTCCTCTCCTTTAACATAAGCTATACGTACATGTAATACATGGCTTATTATAATTTTGATAAAAGCACCAATTTATGATGTCTGATATATCAGTTACATATAAATGATATATTGCATTTTATATACTGAACAAGCCAGATAACAACAATTACCGGAAAATTAATCTTAAAAGTCAATGAAAAGGACGGGATATGAAGTAGCCTCTTGTTATTGTTTATACCACACTCCTATATATATATATACACCTTACTTGATCATTTATCAAACATAATGAAAAACGACTTACTAGTAGATGAATGATGAACTTTCTTTTCTAATACTTGCTTGTTTTTATTATAAAAAAGATCTTACAAAAATGTACGGAGCTTTGAACCAGTCACTTACATGTGAAGGAAACACACACGTGATCACAGGCGGAGATGTTTTAAGATGTATTGTCATCATAATCATTATGTTGCTGATCATAGTCGGGAATGTTTGCTGCCTTGTCGTGTTCAACAGTCCAAAGACGAAGAAACAGTTTATGAAGCGAGTTAGATACATGATGAACTCACTGTGTTGCACGGATTTGAGCATGGGAGTGCTAATGTGTCCATCAACAATCTATCCAGCTCTCAAACATTGCTGGCCGCTCGGAGTTTTTATGTGTAAATTTGAAGCTCTTCTTATCTCAGCTTTGTTTCACGAATCAACATTAAATATGGTGTTAATAGCTATCGATCGTTGCTGTATTATACATTGTTCAAGATACAACAACATAATGACGTCAAAAAGGTTTTTGTTTGTCATCATAGGAACCTGGGTGACAGTATTCACTTGTTATGCTGTTGTTATTTTTGGAACAGATCAATTTTACTACGACAACATCGGAATAAACTGCGAGCCGTTTTATCTAGAACCGAAAGTAACGCTTACCGTTCTTAGTATATTCTATTTTGTACCAGCAGTTATATTTGTTGTCTGTTATGGTTCGATATACAGGACTGCCACACAGAGAAAGGTTTTGACTGTTTCTCCTGACGATAAGGTAAGTCTTATATGTTTCTTACTAATCTCTATGATTTGAAAATATCTCGATAAATCTACATAATTTAATTATTACATATTTCTATAGCGTACATATCATTACAATATAATACGCTGTACTTAAATACGAATTTGCAAGTTTCCTTTATTATGAATTAAGATTACAAATATATCGAAACTAATAAGCAAAATAATCTCACCACATTAACTATTGTTCGTTTTTAAGCATGGTAAAATGGTAAACGCTAACATACGGACATCGAAATACCTGGCAGCTATCACTGGTGGATTCTTCGTCGCTGTCTCACCGTGGACTCTTTGTACGCTCATTATCGTTGCAGCTAAAGTAACGCTTCCGGATGAAGCTGATTTCTTTGTCACGTGGTTAGCTCTTAGCAACAGTTTCTGGAACTGCCTGATATATGGATTAATGAACAGAAAATTTCGCCGCGCAGCATTGAAATTTGCATGTGGAAAGTGGATTAAATCTATCAAGGAGTCCGTGTACGTAAAATCGCACGATGAAAGCAGGGACTTTAGTGAAGATTCTACAGCATATGCTAATTACAAACGTAGACAAAGTAACAAGAAGAAGGCCATGAGTAGAAATTGCGATGAGAACATGTCAATTACAGTAACAGGAAGCATGTCTGCAACAAATACACCAAACCATTCTCCTGCAACTATTCCAAAAATAGCACATACTAGAACACAGCATAAACAAGTAACAGAACTGATTCAAGAAACTAAAGGACTGTGAGATTATTTACAATAATTTGTGTTATCTGTCCTCATTAAGCAGAGAAACACTTCACATAATTATGATTTCTTATTCATTATCTGAACGATATAACGACTATTTCCGGACTTAATTAGTACAAACGTTATCTGATTTTGATGTTGAAGTTTTAATAACAATGTAATTTGATGATAAGTGTTAATTGATATTGATTTGTCATACATGTATAGCACTTACTCATTCAAATGTTTCATTGCTATATTTCATGTATTCACAGCAAATTTAAATTTTGCAACTTTAATAGGTCTTGGACTGACAAAGATGTGTGACGACCTTAAGTAACGGTAGAAATTCAAACATGTCAATATATAGATATATTTTGGTACTGATAATAATTTTGTCATTTTCAATGCAAATAAAATGTATTTTCCAATAACATAATTTCAAATTAGTGCACAAAGAAATAATGACAGGTTTTGCTGTCTTACATATTGATAATATAAGTATATGACATCTTTTATTGCCTTTTATATATTTGTAAATGACCAAACATTTATTCATTAATTAATGTCGACATGACAATAGATCTGAAACCTAAAATGATTAATGAAGTTTTCAATAGGAAGTATGAATGGATTCCTTCTCTTTGTGGAAGTATTTACTTTTGTGCACTTATTTCACAATATGCATTTACTTTGTTTGATGTCTTATGTTATCATTGTACATTTTGCCGTTTATGAAACACTCTTACATGACATGAAAGTAAACACTATTTCAATGAAACATTTTATCGTAACTTTGACTCATATCAGTAACAATTCAATTTCTTAATACAATGTAAAAAGTTTTGTTCTGCTGTTTATGATTCACAGTGCACTTTGCTTCCGTTTGTTTTATATGTAAATTATTTTATACGTTACATGCATAAATGCACATATATGGCACTATTTCATCGTTTAGTCATTTTTTTCTGTAATATTTGATTTCGTTTTGATTTTATTTTTAATTTTGACTTGGTTTATTTATGTAATGTATAGTACATATTCGAAATCAATTAAAAAATTGATTGCATTCTTTTCTTTGTCAAAGCTTATGAATTTTGTATAACAAAGATTTATAAATAATAATTATGGCATCTAATCGCAAGCAAATTGAAAGCAAAGTTGTTGAAAATGCAAAGTTTTTAAATATAACTTACAAGTTAAGAAATCAAATCTAACTCATAAAAATATTATCGCTTCCACTATTTTTATGTGTCTTACGAAACTATTTAGTTCGTTACAGAAAAGAAGCAAATGTATGTAGCTCGCGACCTCCCGCTTAGAAACGAAAGTCACCACAATTTAGACCACTGGACAATTTAAGTGTTGATTTTTTATTTGTATGTGTTACATAGTTTGCCATCATTGCAATGATACAACATGTATATGAATTGTATTATTTATGTAAAATATATCTTTTAACCATATTTAGTTTTTGTATATGCCCAGTGACATTGTTGGAAATTCCGATTTGCCCATTTATAAAATTAAATATACAAACATCTTAAATTCTATATATTTAATTAGTCAAATTAAACTATTGTTTAATGATTATAAAAATCAAATAATTGACAGATACATTTTTAAAACATTTAAAAAAATATTTTTAGTTATTTCAAAACAAGAAAGAAATAGAAACTTGTACAAAGAATATCATCATATAAAATACATTGAAAATAACTATTTAATTATATATATCCTGTCACAAAAAATATTAAAGGAAATGACCGTTAAATATATGTACAGGTTCAGTGAGGTGTTATGTGTGTAACCAGAAGGTATGTCGAAGACGCGCCAAATGAAATACTGTATATTATGCAAATTTGGATGAACTAAAGATGAAACTCATTTTCTTTAATTGTGTGCTCGGTATGTACCGATATAACATCAATGACATTTAATGGCTATGTTACAAACGATGTACATAACAACATTACAAACATTGAATAACTGGTATTTAAAATCATCAGAAAAAAAGTTCTTCTCTTTTTAGCTAAAACATATATGCTATGGAGAAATTTGCTTGTAAAAGGTAATCGACATATAACTTGCCAATAGTAAAACATGATGATAAATTAGATGTAATGTGATTCTGAAACTTACATATATAACAGCAACTTTGATCTCATTTAAATGTTCCGTTTTGCACTATGTGCATTTAAGATAATGTGGCAATGGGTCGGGTGTTTTTGTATACATTTTTATCATGTATATGTATTTGATGTTTACAATAAACTGTTTACTATCTTACATAATAACTTGTTCACTTGCTCTCTCCCCAGTTCCTCTCCAACTCACATGTATTTAAAGTCACATACCATATATGTATATATTTATCAAATGTTAACCAAGCAAAAGATATTTAATAGTTAAAAATTTGAATCAAATTTATTTAAGAGAATAAACGTGAATTCAACGATGTGTAATTGATTATCCATTTTTAAGTTATGTAAAAATAGTCAAGAAATCTATACGTTTTTACACTGTTCTTAACTTCTTCATAATAAAGGAACAAAGAAGACATAAAATAGTGTCATTTACAGTTACCAGTCAAATGGAAAAAGCACTGAAAATACCTTATTAGGTTCAAATGAATAAATTGTTTAACAAATTTAGATATCAGGAAAGAGATGATAACATGTTGGGTCTATGTTATATCAACAGAATAACAAACTTTAATTTTTTGCATATTGAATTTCTTTGAACTGGTTAAAAATGATATATTACGAGTTAGATAAAGTGATGTATGAGGAGTGAGAAAGGGTTCTATCAGTTCATTTAGTAAGTGACATGTTGAAATAGAAACATTCGATGAATTTTAATGCAACATGTTTTTAAACAGGAAAATATTCATATTGACATAATTAATACTGCATCCTAATTTTTAAGAACAACAAAAATAGCATGAAGAAAATTCCCCACTATTGCCTATTCTTATACCATAGCTTTCGATACTGTATATCTTTTTACATATTTTTTGTGGTTGATATGTAATTGTGACTCCCTCTGTAAGAAACAAACCAAATACTGGTACAAGTTCTGGTTTAATGGTCAGTAGGTGACCTTATTTATTTTTCAAACTAGTAACCTATTGATCGATCGATGTCCATCCATCAATCCATCCATCCATCCATCCATGCATGCGTTGTCTCTGGGGTCAGTAAGTCAAAATCGTATCAGAAGTGTTTCATCTCTATCCCAAGAAAACCTCTAAGGTGTTTTGTTTAAAAGTAAAAAATATGGAAACCCAGTCCTAAACCATTCTGAGAATCATCTGTGCACTGAATAAACAGCACATGAGCAATTGCCTACCTTTGTACATACGTGAAGAGGTGTCCCACTTCCTGTCAGCAGCAGAATGCTTTCGTCAAAATTCAATAATTAAATGTAGTAAAGAATCTGAATAAACAATAGAAAATTATATCAACACTGAAGGGAATTACGAGACAACTTTTTAAGCCGTGGGATTTGAACATACTTAGGGGAAAACCTATAAAATGGACACCATCGGTATTAAAACGATGCAACGGAGTCTCTTTTTCTACTTATTTGATGTATATAACGTTGTTGTTTTTCATAGTGACAGTTACACGGAAACATTTTCCCGACCTATTTGTGCAGCAATTAGCCTAGTTGTCAAATCAATGTTCATTATTTGATATATAAGGACATATATTGACAATGTTAGCGCGAAGGTTGTAGTGTATGCTATAAATGAAGAAAAATCATTCAATTAGTCTCTACACTAACTCTTTGTACTTATATTTTGAAACAAATTTACATGCAGGACACATCTTTGATGTAATTATTAATTTCACAGATACATCAATTACGGGAAACCTTTCAAAAGTTTGGTGATAGAACAGTGATAAACACTAGGTGTTTTGGTGCTGCAGACATCATGTCACCACCTAGTACGAGAAAAAAAGACTTCTGGGATACATTCCATGTTTACTGATGATTGTTTAGTCGTTTTATCTTTAATATTTCAATAAAGCAATTATTACTCTCATTATAGTTTATCAATGCATGTGATTAATAGCACGCTACCCTAGCATTAACACCACGCGATCATTAACCTCGCGAAAGCAGGTTCACCAGGACTTTTACATTGAAAAAAAAAACACAAAAAAACAAACAAACAAAAACCAGTAATATCAATGATCGTCATTTCAAAACACTGATGCGTTCATCAAAGAACTTAATGAAGCAGATTTTAGCAAATACGTATACCAATTATCCTATTCCGTCACCCATAACAGTTTCCTTGACAAACCAATTACGTCCAAAGTGAAATTAGACGAAGAAATACATAGATATTACTGACTGGTTATATCTAGGGACAGCAAAACACAACATTCACTGTCATAACAGTCAGACTGCATTATGCACTTCACAGTTCACTATCGTGATCAAAAAGGGTTCAATATTGATTCATTTACATTAAATTGCAAGTGCTAAACTTGATAACAATTGTAGAATGATTAATTAATCATTGGTCAATCCTTAACACTAATAAAGTTACGATTTAGAACGGTACAATTTTGAGTTTTACCAACCACTCAGAGCGAAATCATTTTTAAAGCTTAGAAAAACAATTATATGAAACTAAAAGTTGACACTTCATAGGGATAAATCATAGATTTGGAGATACAGGACTGTTGTATATTCTTTTTTAAACAACTTACCTTAAATTTTTATTTAATACGAGAATGAATACGCTTGAAATGGAAGCATAAAATGTGTGAAATGTCAGTGTATATTAAATTGGTCACGAGGATGATATCATTATAATATATGTATATGTTTCCTTTATATATATATGGAGAGAGAGAGAGAGAGAGAGAGAGAGAGAGAGAGAGAGAGAGAGAGAGAGAGAGAGAGGAGAGAGAGAGAGAGAGAGAGGAGAGAGAGAGGAGGGGGAGAGAGAGAGAGAGAGAGAGAGAGAGAGAGAGAGAGAGAGAAGAGAGAGAGAGGGGGAGAGAGAGAGAGAGAGAGAGAGAGAGAGAGAGAGAGAGAGGGAGAGAGAGAGATGAGATAAACTATAATTAAAATAGAATAGAAAAGAAAAATATAAAATTAAATCAGGAAAACATATTGTCAAAAAACTTAATGTGGTTAATGAAACAAGAAAACATTTATTTGTTGCCGAAGCGCGGCGCCCCTTATGGAATGAAATCAGATTTTGTGAAAGGGCGACAGCAACTTCTCGAGCCTTTTAGTCCGTCATAATAAAAGCCGATCATTCCGATCGGTATGAGGGTGCTTGATTATTAATTAAAAATGAAATGTCGCGATATGTACAATGAATAGCGAACTGGAGAATTTCGAAATGCAAACATTTTCAAATGAAATAACCTTTTCCGTCAATAAATCTCGCTCTTCGGGTTTTTTATAGTACACAGTGTGTTATTATGGTATGTTATTGTTGTAGCTGTAAATAGAATGATGAGACGAAAATCTATTTATAGATGTATGTACTCATATCGGTAATTCCCGGTCTCTCCCGGTCTATTTTGACCGGGATTTACTAGTGACCGGCGAATAGTATCACACGTGGACTCGGCCCGGTGAATTTTCGTACTATTTGTTCTATAGTAAATCAGTCACATTTGAGGCTTAATTCTGGATTCCATTGTTCTTGATGAATTATATACTGTCTTCAACTTTAAACATTAACACTATCTAAGTCCAATGAGGCCCAAAATATAATAGGTTAGCCATCTACTTTTTTTAGAAATCTTCATTCTGTTGTAACACTGTTTAGATTCACCACTTTAAAAACTCCTGACAGCTAGTGGGTAGTACATCTTTAATCCTTCCGCCAACAAATGAGTTCCTGGAGAATACACAAAAAACAACTTTTAAAGTCATCATATAACACACAAAAACTACACACATGCAATAAATACACTTTTATCATGACCAATCTGACTAGAGATGACTTAAATTGGGCCACTTCAAAATTTTAAAGAACTACTTTCTACAACGGGTTGGGTCTAATTCCGTACCGGGTTGAGACCACGTTTATTGTCCGGTCTCTCCCGGTTTTGGAGTAGATGTTTGATATCATTACAGAACAGAACAAATATTTTACAGATAAATAAGCTTTTTTCCAAAATGAATGTTTGTCACTTAGTTTGGTTACAATAATTAATAAACACAGATTAACTCTCAAATTTGTTGATTATTATTATACATAAACATGCAATTCGTAAAAAAAAACCAACAACAACTATAACCTCTTTCATTTTATCTATATGAGATAAAAACAATAAATATGTACAATAATTGACAAAAAAGGTACATTTTATTGTATTAATATGACACTATCAACTTTGAAACATTTATTTTAATTTGTTATTCGTGTTTAGTAAAGATGCCGAGGAATTATTCAAACTTCAAATTAGATTTTATGAATTATTCAATTGATTGATAATTTAAAAAATGATAAAAAAAAAATACAAATGTACATGTACATGGTTTAAGAATAAACAATTTTATATATTGAAAGAATAACCATAATTTACTGACTTTTTCCAGTTAAGTTTTGACTTATAATCGTCGGTCAATATGACAATTGAATTCTTAAAATTTTTTTACAATTTTAATAAAAAAAGAGCAGTAAACGTAAAAAGTCAGTTTTAAAATAGCACATAAAAACCCCAAAAAGAGAAAAGAAAACAATATTAATAAAATCTGTAAACTTTTTTATTAAAATAGATCTTACAATTACTGTATAATAAACAATTATGCTCAACATGATTAACATGGTTATATAACCAGTGTCATAATTTTACTAAGTGTGAACAGATACCTTAAGAGGGGGTCTTCGCTAATAGCGATAACATAATAAGGGTGATCATGCGTTACACATATGGATTATAAATGGTTGTATACATATATATCCGTTGCTATTAATAATCACGATCATAAAGAAATAACAAGTAATATTCTAATCTCTAGCATGCCAATCAAAGTTCATAATGAACAATGTCTTTCGTCCGTTCATTCATAAGTGATATACAATTCTGGTAAAACCAATTAACCATTGAAAAGATAATAAGAATATCTTGTCATCATATGTCTACTAGTTCATCTTCATCTGCTGTATTTCTTGCTTGGAGGCCCTTTGATGTTTTGTATCAATGCTTTTCTTGTATCTATTACGTTTTTGTAACTTAAACAGAGTATACATGTTCTGCCTCGTGATATGATATGGTATGTAATCATGTTCCGTGAAAATATTTTCTATACTTCATTCCATTCAAGATACAGCAAAATTATACAATATATACACTGGGATTGGTGTTTATATGTAAACGTGACGTCTTCATGCATTGTTTAATTTGTCCATTTAGATAAAAAGAAGAATAATAAGTCTACGTACTATATTTACCTCAGTCAAAGTAGTATGTTAGAAAAAGCGCATTTTGTGGTCATTTCATTAGAAAAGTAAATTTTTTGAAAGTGTAACCATAGCGGTTATGAGGGCATGTACATCTGACAATGATGTGTTTATGCCGCATCGATGTTTGTAATGTATTAGAATAATAGACATATAAACTCTAAACATTATAAATGACTATATAAATAAGTATATAAATAATATATAAATAGGTACATGTATATAAGTGTATATAAATATATGTAAGGAAACTTAAATGATGTTATAAAGTATGAATACTTATATCAATAAGTCTAAACTAGAGAGAAATAAGAACCCCTAAAGAAAGCCAAACACGGCAAAATTGAAAATGTTGCAGGCTCGGTTTGATTGAGCCTGTTCTTTGACGGTACTGTCAAGTGCAAATTACCGTCCACGCCCCTGGCACCGGCTTAAGCAGAATTCAACATTTAACATGAACTGGTAAAATTTAGAGCAGATGTGTTCATATGGCGATTATCATGGAACCTTCAATGTGACACGTTAGTACCATTCCATGAAAAGCGGCATATGGTCCCCAAGTAAAAAAATGCATGTGCCCTAAACGAGAAAACAATGGGCGGAACTAAATAAAATGAAATTTTGAAAGGGGATCTGAGGTTATGAAGCCTGCATATCACAGATATGACGACAAAAGACAAATTTAAAAAGCAGGCCACATATCCTAAGGGTGATTCAACAGTATTCAAGTAAGGAATACTGGAACCACCTAACAAGAAAGATGCCGAATAGAAAGAACTAAAATAACACAAGCACAACAATTATGTCGTGCTGAACGATCTTTAAGGATCGGAAATATAACATGGCACATACAACGCTGATGTGGCGGTAAAATAGAGAGAAATAAGAATCCCTAAAGAAAGCCCAACACAGCAAAATTGAAAACGTTGCATGCTCGGTTTGATTGAGCCTGTTCATGGACGGTACTGTCAAGTGCAACTTGTAAAATACAAGTAACTAAATACATGTAACTTGGTATACGTCGTTCATAGTCGTAAACTTATTATATTTCAAATATAAATCTATTCTAAGAATAATTATTATTCTTAGGTGTTTTATTGATTCGCGTAAGATAAATACATGTATACACTACATAAGACAGGAAGGTCAAGCAGGTTTCATAATTCCGGATAGTTTGTTGCGTTTCGGTTCATGATACTTACCAAGCGGCAGGGCGTGAAGTGGTGGCACACTTGGTTAAAGCGAGAAAATTGGTTGCAAACTTGACAAAATAGCTATAAGCATTGCTAAAGAATGGGCGGATTTCAAAATAACACACCAATTTTCTCGCTTGAACCAAGTGTGCAACCACTTCATGCCATGCCCCTTGCTTACGTTATGACCAGTTTCCTGTTTAAATGTCATTTATATGATAGGCCCATTATGCCTTAGAAATGCTTTAATTTTCATTTCTCGAGAACATTTTATTTTTTGTGTCATATAATAGTTTCCAAAAGGTTAAATCATTGGCCAATTATCTGAATCATTTTTGCTCATGTTGCTTTTTGGCAATTATTAAACCATTAGTGATTTGGTACTTTGTATGGAGGCCAAAATACTTCCTTGTTTACATGTTTCTACTTTTGTAACAAATAATTTCACACTCCACACTACTTTCTTCAGACATGTTTTATGCTCTGAGACCATTATTTAATTGCTATTAAACTTGGCAATTTCTGACAAAGGAAAAAACCGTTTCTGAGGCCTTATTCAATGTTATATATCAATACAGTTTTCAAATCCTCATTAAAAGTGTTGTTAGAAAGAGTAAAGAAAAAAATCCAAATCATCGATATTTTATAAAAACCGGCCGACCCTCTTGCAGACTAGTTGGTACATTCAAATGAAACCTGGTAAAAAACACTCCTGGGGATATCCCAACTGTTAAAAAAGACTTAAAGGCTATTTTTGTGCAAAAATGACTCCACAACAACTTAAGATTAACTCGGCCTTTTCTACACGCTATTATCATACACATATATGTCCGGTTTACAAGATACAGAACGCCTTGACTAAATAATGTCTTTTTTTGTTTGTTTTTGTTTTAGAAGTTGCGCGAATAAAGTGGACTTTCGCACTGCCATACATTCTGTTAAATTATTATATTGAACGCTTGCCCTGCATAAAATTAAATACTTTCACTGGTTAAGGCTATGGATTTCAATTTGAGCAGACCCTAGTAAAGCGTCTGTCCGGATTGCAGACACACTTGGCTCTTTACTTGCAGTTTAAGGAAACTATCAACATTTCTCGCCTTTATAATAAGGTTATTAATATAGGTTATTATAGGTTATTAATAAGCAAAATATTTATGTATATTATACAATTTTGTTTGAGATATTTACATGGCATATGTAATGTCTGATAATTTTAGATGATATAACGTCTCGTTATTTCTTATCATAAGAAACAAATTAAAAATAAGTATTAATATATTGGTATGTTAAGGCATAATTGTCATAATTTAATGGATCACATTTCTCTCTTTGTCTTTTTAATAATACTAGATGTGTTTAGTAATTTACTAATTTAGTGTTTGGTTTTAAGGTTAAACATAATTTTATTCAAGGTATATATACATGTTACTAATTTACAATTTAAAGCAGAAAGTAGTTTGAGAAAATAAGTCTTTGATACTAGAAGTTTTCAACAAAACTTATCTTGTTGTGCTGAAAGTTATAAACATGTTTGAAAATACACCCAAGACTTCACCAAACTTTGTTACTCTCTGTCAGTAGCACGCATTTATCCCCCTGCCCCCCCGTAATTCCCAATACGAGATATGCACCAGTTTATGATGTCTGATATGTCAGTAACATATAAATGATATATTTCATTTAATATACTGAACAAACCAGATAACAGCAATCACCGGAAAATTAATCTTAAAAGACAATGAAAAGGACGGGAAATGAAGTATTATATCACACTCCTATATATATACACCTTACTTGGTCATTTATCAAACATAATGAAAAACGACTAACTAGTAGATGAATGATGAACTTTTTTTTCTAATGCTTGCTTTTATGTAAAAATATATCGTACCAAAATGTACGGAGCTATGAACCAGTCACTTACATGTGAAGGAAACACGCACGTGATCACAGGCGGAGATGTTTTAAGATGTATTATCATCATAACCATTATGTTGCTGATCATAGTCGGGAATGTTTGCTGCCTTGTCGTGTTCAACAGTCCAAAGACGAAGAAACAGTTTATGAAGCGAGTTAGATACATGATGAACTCACTGTGTTGCACGGATTTGAGCATGGGAGTGCTAATGTGTCCATCAACAATCTATCCAGCTCTCAAACATTGCTGGCCGCTCGGAGTTTTTATGTGTAAATTTGAAGCTCTTCTTATCTCAGCTTTGTTTCACGAATCAACATTAAATATGGTGTTAATAGCTGTCGATCGTTGCTGTATCATACATTGTGCAAGATACAACAACATTATGACGTCAAAAAGGTTTTTGTTTGTCATCATAGGAACCTGGGTGACAGTATTCACCTGTTATGCTGTTGTTATTTTTGGAACAGGTCAATTTTACTACGACAACATCGGAATAAACTGCGAGCCGTTTTATCTAGAGCCGAAAGTAACGCTAAACGTTCTTAGTATATTCTATTTTGTACCAGCAGTTATATTTGTTGTCTGTTATGGTTCGATATACAGGACTGCCACACAGAGAAAGGTTTTGACTGTTTCTCCTGACGATAAGGTAAGTCTCATTTCTTACTCACTATACTCCATGATTGAAAGAGATCCCGATAAATCTGCATATCTTTGAATGAAATTATCACATATTACTATAGTGACACTATATTACGCTGTACTGTAGTCTAACACGAAGTTGCAACTTTGCTTTATTATGAAGTTATATTCCAGATATTTCGAAACAAATAAGCTTAAGAATCTCACTACATTAACTATTGTTTGTTTTTTAGCATGGTAAAATGGTTAACGCTAACATACGGACATCGAAATACCTGGCAGCTATCACTGGAGGATTCTTCCTCGCTGTCTCACCGTGGACTCTTTGTACGCTCATTATCGTTGCCGCTAAAGTAACGCTTCCGGATGAAGCCGATTTCTTTGTCACGTGGTTAGCTCTTAGCAACAGTTTCTGGAACTGCCTGATATATGGACTAATGAACAGAAAATTTCGCCGCGCAGCATTGAAATTTGCATGTGGAAAGTGGATTAAATCTATTAAGGAGTCCGTGTACGTAAAGTCGCACGATGAAAGCAGGGACTTTAGTGAAGATTCTACAGCATATGCTAATTACAAACGTAGACAAAGTAACATGAAGAAGGCCATGAGTATAAATGGTGATGAGAACATGTCAATTATAGTAACAGGAAGCATGTTTGCCTCAAATACACCAAACCATTCTCCTGCAAATATTTCAAACATAGCACATACGAGAGCACAACATAAACAAGTAACAGAACTTATTCAAGAAACTAAAGGAATGTGAGATTATTTACAATAGTTTGTGTTATCTGGCCTCATTAAGCGCAGAAACACTTCACACAATAATGATTTCTCATTCATTTTCCAAACGATATAAGGACTATTTACGTTATCTGATTTTGATGTTGACGTTTTAATAACTATGTTATTTGATGATAAGTGTTAATTGATATTGATTTGTCATACATGTATAACACTTACTCATTAAAATGTTTCATTGCTATATTTCATGTATTCACAGTAAATTTGAACTTTGCATCTTTAATAGGTCTTGGGCTGACTAAGATATGCGTGTCTAACTTAAGTATTGGTAGAAATTCAAACATATCAATATGTTATATTTTGGAACTGATAATAATTGCAAATAAAGTGCATTTCCCGAGAACGGAATTTCAAATTAGTGCACAAAGAAATGATGTTAGGATATTGACAATACAAGTATATGGCATCTGTCTCTATATTTGTAAATGACCAAACATTAATTCATTACTTAATGTCGACATGGCAATAGATCTGAAACCTAAAATGATTAATGAAGTTTTCAATAGGAAGTATGAATGGATACCTTTCCTTTGTGGAAGTATTTACTTTTGTGCATTTGTTTCACAATATGCATTTACTTTGTTTGAAGTTTAATGTTATCATTGTACATTTTGCCGTTTATGAAACACACTTATATGATATCAAAGTAAACACTATTTCAATGAAACATTTTATTATAACTATGACTCATATCAGTAACAATTCTTAATACAATGTAAAAAAGTTTCTTCTGCTGTTTATGATTCACGGTGCACTTTGCTTTCGTTTGTTTTATATGCCGATGTTTATATACGCTACATACATAAATGCACAATAATGACACTATTAATCGTTTAGTCATTTTTTCTGTAATATTTGATTTTCTTTTTGATTTTTTGAAATGACTTGGTTTCTTACATTATTTTCTGTGTCTAACAAAACTATTTAGTTCGTTACAGAAAGAAGCAAATGTATGTAACTCGCAAACTCCCGCTTAGAAACGAAAGTCACAACGATTTAGACCACTGAGCCAATTAAGCACAGAATCGACTTCCTGAAGCAAGTGTCAGAGGTGATACTTACAATTTTGACAGTTACTGTGCAGTCAGCAGTAACAATTTAAGTGTTTTTTTTTCCAATTTCTATGTGTTTCTTAGTTTACGATTATTGCAATAATACAAAAAATGTATATAAATTGTATTATATATGTAAAATATATGTTTTGACCATATTTAAGTTTTGTATATGGCCAAAGACATTGTAGGTAATTCAGATTTGTCCATTTATAAAATGGAATATACAAACATCTTAAATCCAGGATTATAAAAATCAAATAAATGACAGATACATTTTTTAAAACATCTAAAAAAATATTTTTAGATATTTCAAATGACCAAAGATTAAATACTTGTCGAGGAATAATCTGAAACCCAAAATACATAATAATAATGAATATGAATGGATAACCTTGCCCAAAATTTTTAGGAAATACCGTTCAAATATGACAGTTACTGTTTTGTGTTTGTGTTTAACCAATGTAATTTCGTAAAAACCCAAAATCAAAGACTATTTATTTATGAAAATTTATTATAACTATGACTCATTGTAACAATTCTTAATACACGCTGTTAAACGCGCTTTTTTCCCCGCCCTCCTTTTTTGTTGGGTCTCAAATAAATGAAAAAATGCCTTATTTAGGCATCAAATATTTGTTTTTTTGATTGTTAAATGTTGTTTTAAAAAAGTGCAACCTTTTTTCGACGAAGAGCCCCCAAATCCAAAAGAATACACAGGGGGTTGCCAGAGGCATTGCCCCTTCCTGGCTTGGGGGATTTAAAGTGGGACAGTCACTTCATCGCCAAAAGTGCAATTTTGGTCTTGTGAGAGGCTATAAATGATCCAGATTGTATCATATAATGTAAAATAAATGCATTTGAGTCTTATTCAATCATTGTAGAAGTTCCATTGCACTTTTGAAATACAATTCTTAAAATGGAAAAAAATCAAAAAATAAGATATTTTTGAAAAATCTAAAAATATTTTTGCCATGTTTAACAGAAAATTAGCGAGCTGTGTTAAGAAAACAATTCAATCAAATAATTTGTAATTTTATTTATTGTTCAACAAAGTTTTTATAGTATTATATGTTTGTTGTAACGCAGAAGTTTCAGACGAAACAAAGACTTTTTTCACAAAATTTTGGGGCTGAATGAAACAATGGTGTTAATTGTGTGCTCGGTATGTACCGATATAACATCAATGACATTTAATTGCGATGTTACAAACGATGTACATTACAACATTACAATCATTGAATAACTGGTATTAAAAATCATCAGAAAAAAGTTCTTCTCTTTTTAGCTAAAACATATATGCTATGGAGAAATTTGCTTTATAAAAGGTGATCGACATATAACATGCCAATAGTAAAACATGATGATAAATTGACTGTAATGTGATTCTGAAACTTACATATATAACAGCAACTTTGATCTCATTTAAATGTTCCGTTTTGCACTATGTGCATTTAAGATAAAGTGGCAATGGTCCGGGTGTTTTTGTATGCATTTTTATTATGTATATATGTTTGATGTTTACAACAAACTATTTAATATCTTACTTAATAGTTTGTTCACTTGCTCTCTCCCCAGTTCCTCCCTCACTCACATTAATTATAGTCCCATACCGTATAGGTAAATATTAATAAAATGTTAAAAACATAAGGTATTCAAAAATTAAAAGTCGGAATAACAACATTTATCTAAAAGAATTAACATGAATTTAACTACGTGTTATTGAATATCCATTTTTAAACTTATGTAAAACACTTCAAGAAATTTTAACATAGTTTACGCCATTCGTTCGCTACTTCATAATAAAGGAACAAAGAAGACATAAAACATTGCCATTTACAGTTGAAAGTAAAATGAAAAAAGCACTGACTGACAATAACTAATTAGTTTCAAATGAATGAATTGTTTAACAAATTTAGATATCAGGAAAGAGATGATAACACGTGGGGTCTATGTTATAGAAACAGAATAACAAATTTTATTTTTTGCATATTAGATTTCTTTGAACTGGTTAAAATGATATATTACGAGTATGATACTTAAAGTGATTTATTGAATTTGCTCGATTCTTTAGAATTGGTTCTTTTGGCTAATGGAAGCCTATATGTAAAGCATTGTTTTACAAATCATTTTTAAGCTTTTATATTGATTAATGTTATACACTCTTTATTTCCACTTTTCAGTGAATATAACATGTTCTACAGATATATACATATGCAAAAAACACGTAAAAACAATATTAGAATTATCAATGAATTATCGATTACATAACAAGATTAACATAGTTAGCATAGGTACACAATGCATTCATTTGAAATACTCATTTGAAATACAATGCTTAAAGATATTTACATATAATAATAACAAATGCAATGCACGTTAAACATGTGGTTAAGGCATTCAACATTTCACAGAAATCAAGATAACAAAAGTTTCGATAATTATTATTATTTAAGTAGAAACCCCTCAATATCGCCCCATGCCATGATATTTCCACATAACAGTCTCGTCGCTATACTATAACTTTAACATGTCTATTTAAATCACAGCCTTGCTATTGAAAAAATGATCTCGTTACCTTTACTGGATAATGTTATAACTTATGATGTTAAGGACATGACGTATAGATGTTTTGTTAGACGCCGCGTGCAGTGCACGTGCACGCGGCGTCTAGTAGATATGCATTTGTCCATACAGCAATGGGGAAAATTTTAGACTTGAGAATTGACTTTGTGTGTTTTTTGGGTTAAACAAAATCACACTGTTTTCACATTTTCTAATAAAAAAGCATAGCTTTTCTGATGTATAACATGTCACAGAGCTTTAAGTGATTAGAATAAACGTTTAACTGAAGTGATAGTGTCATGTTTGAATATCATATTCTGTTTATCATTATCTAATTTTATCTACATAATAAATAACGTGCCAATGAGCCAGTCTAAAGTCGATCGTTCTAAAACTGAACCGTTGAGAGAGGTATGTCACTCACTTTATTTGCTCCGCCTCTGATGAAGTTCGGCTCCGTCTTAAATTGTCGCCAAATGTAATATGAAGCTCCGTATGCTAACATTTAGTCTCGTTGACGGGCGGAAGGGAATCATGACAACTTTGATCAATATCACTTGTCAAATCATTAAATCACGCCCACTATTAGAGAGGCGGTTCTCCCTCAACCGTTAAGAAAGTGCGCCAAACTCACCGCACCGGATACGCTACGGCCAGTAAAGGGAGATCACTGCAGAACAGTTCGTCCTCAAAATCATTCGAACATAATGCAATTCGTACCAATATTTAAATGGACGTATTCTCGGCCCTTATTGTCTTGAATTTATTTTAAGTATACCAATCATTTCAATTTTACTTGTTATCCACTTTATTTTGCTTCGACCAGACGTTTCAATCTTTGTCGCAACAGACAACATTTCAGAATTTCAGACATGGTATCGCTTTGTGAATTTATGCATTAGGTTCTACTTTTTCACAATAATATGCAACTTAAACAACTAGCACATACCAAGAACATGGAGACAAAATTGATTTGTGCTTCGAATATTCAACGGTAATAGAGAACGATTTTCAATGCTGATTGACTGTTCACATCTTTGGCGGCGTCTTTGATATGCAGCATCAACATTTAACTTGTATCTGCTAAAAGGTATAACCTAGAGAGTGAGACTGCTATAGGATACGAATTGATCAAAATTTGCAGAATTCTTGATCAGATACGATTCTCGCTTCCCATGATAGGAATAAATGCTGTTTCTTGCTGTTTTTTCCAAGTCAATTTAGTAAGGAACTTTGAGAATTGGATATACTTATTCAGATATTTAAATAAGCCCTTCAGATGTTTAAATAAGCCCTATTTGACGAGTATCTTGAACATATCAGCGATAAATCCTAGTTGCAAATAAGCGCCTTTTAACCGCATTTCAAATGTATGCTTGGTAAGGAAATCTTTGGCGTTTGACATAGTTTCTTGAGAAAACACAGTTTCCGTTTATCTATCAGGGGTTCAAAAGAAAACCAGTCTAACAATTTAAAGGACCATATCATTCGAGTTGTTTATGTTTGGATAGAAAAGATCAGCTGCTAGTCGCAAGAAACATTCCTAAAGTTATGTCAGAGTTCGCATACACACAATGCGACTGAGATTGTGACCTTTTCGACCAGTCTTGAATGGACTAACGGATATACTTCCCCTGGTTCTATAGACAGGAATGAGAACAGGGATGACTTGTCCTTTCTGCATTGCATGTAAACCGCATTAGAGCAGCGAAATGAATTGTGAAGCTCTATACCAACGTGTTTGGTGTTTTAGCAGACTAGATACAGGACGTTTCAAAATAAATAGAGTAGTCTGATGATTGTGAAACATCAAATACAATTAATTTTGAATTTCAGTCATTAAAGTGATACCTCCATGCGTCATAATGTGATACCTCCAATGTTGTTTTTTCACTGTCTGTACATAACTTAAGTGACTTCAGATTAGGGCATAATAAGCTGAGATCATCTGCGAGGGTATGGTTATCACATTGCAGACGACCTATGACACACCCGTTATTACTTTGTTGTAGAATGTTTAGTAAATCGTTGATGTATAAGAAGTAGAGCGAAGAAGATAATACCACTCCTTGACGTACGCCTTAAAGAACGGGCAAGCTTTCTGATTTAACGCCATTAACTAGTACATAGTTTTTTCTGAATAGCTGACAAATATTGTTCTTACAAAGTGCTCAGTAATCCCTGAATCGAAAGCGGCGTTGGTATCCAAGAAAAGCGCAAAAACTTTGCTTAATGTTCTATGTAATGAGCAATTGTTTCTTGGAGATTGATTGAGAGAGTGATTGATCCTAGATGTTCTTGTTAAGTGTTTTGCTAATGATTGGAACCGTGTGCCGCTATATTTGACCCAATGTTTTAGCCTTATATGGACTATGTTTTCAAAAAAATTGTAAATTACCGGTAACAGGGTAATTGGATGATAACTACTTGTAATTATATTTGGTTTTCCGCCTTTAAGCATAAGAATAATGGACGATTTATTTTAGTTGTCGCCCGTTTGTCTTTTTCACGTGTATTGATAAATGAGAATAGTGCTACAAGGTGATGTTGTAATCTCTATGAATAAGTTCATTATTGGTTAACATATTCTCTCTTTTGAAATTTCAGTGTATTCATCTAACATCACTCGTATTGTCAATAGTCTTTCAATATACAAAATTGACTTTACACACCTTAAACGTCAATTATGCATAAGAAACGTTTTTTTTTCTTCTAATTTCTCAAAAGCCGTTTCTGGTGTATTTTTATAGTTTCCGAAATGTTACTTATTGGCCAATTACCTAGACAACTTTTTTTTACCTGTTGCCTTTTAGCAGTTAGTACATTTAAAGTGATGTAGTATTTGTATGGATGTCACATACTACATTTCGCTATTTTAAGACCAATAATTACACAATAATCACCACTTTCTTCAAGGTACAAAGATCTAACTTGCTCACAAACCAATACTTTAACGTTATAAAAGTCACATTTGCCCTTTCTTTAGATGTAAAATTTTATTCTTTTCTGAGGCAAAATATTAATAAAATACAGTGACATGCCTTTCAAATGAATATCATTCACCAATAACCTGACTATATCATTGACTATCAACAACTTTCAAAGTAACATAGTCTGTTACAGGGTATATTTTGTGTCCGGTCTATAACTTCTTTATAGATTAAGGGATTGTAAAATTATTTGGCACAAATATTCATAATGATAAGACTGTGTGCGCTAAAACCAGTAGACTACCTCCAAGGTCAAGATCACAGTTGGAGGTCAAAGATTAACGTAGTATGCTATCGTGTATATTTTGTTTCCATTGCATAACTTTCTCATCCAACAAGAGATTTAAAAATACTTGGCATTAATGTTGACAATAATAAGACGATTAGACATGCCCAAACCCGGACCCTTTTATCCAAGGTCAAGGCCACCCTTAGAGGTGAAAGCTTAACATGATCGTTTATAGGGTATATTTTGTGTGCAGTTCATAATTTCTTTTTTGTTCAAGGGATTTTGAAATTACTTGGCACAAATGTTCACAATAATGGGACCATGTCTCATATGCAACGGCCAGACTCCTACCTACAATGTTAAGGTCACACTTAAGTGCCAAAGCTTAACATGGTCTGTTCTAGGGTATATTTTGTGTGCGGTATATAACTTTCATCAATCAAGGGATTTTAAAATAACTTGGCACAAACGTTAACAATAATAAGACAACACCTAGACTTCTACCTCAAAGGCCAATGTCACACTTGTCGGGAAAAGCCTTAAATAGAATGTTACAATGTATGATGCCAAGACAGGCCCATGCAAATAAAATGTCATTGGTGAATTGCCCACATACCTTGATTGATGACTGAGCACGGAATATACCCTGTAACAGACCATACCTTGTATTGATTTTGTATTTGTCACATTTTGTGACTTTGAAATAGTGATTGTATTTCTGTTGACACATACACAGGAGTTATTTTATTATATTTCTTTAATAAATTTATTGTTACTGACATGTGCAGGTCTAGCATTGATCATAATTTTGCGCCCATACCTCAATCTTTTGAAATGGCACAATTTTGTGTTCCATGTAAAATTCCCGTAGGCTGAGGACGTTGGTAACTCTGTTACAAATTCTTGTACAAAATTGTAAAAAGTAACCGCCCTTTTGACTTAAAATTTTATTCAACATTCGTCTGTTAAAAACTGAAAGAATGCTTTTGTTTGTCGATAATGCATATGGAATACATGTGTCAGGTACCAGTCCGAGTTGCATAACCTTATCAGTCAGTCAAGCTACGTCTGATATTTTTGTGCTTCAAAATGAGCCCTTTAAGGGCATAAGTGGTGACATGTCTGGGGGGTCTGTACTCGACAGCGATAGCTGGATTTAATGCCTGAAAAGGCGGATGGATCACATCATTATAATCATCGTCGTAGTCGAACCTAATACAAAGCGACCGTTAAATGCTATGCAAAACCCAAGGGACGGCAAAGGAAATAGGGGTTTAGCCTTTGTTTGTGTATCCCTGGTGTTGGTTATGCAGGTCATAGTTTTTGTGGTCATATATGTGTTATGATATGTCTCTCCCCATTGCTATATTACCATGTACGATTTTAACTTACTGAAAACCGATAACAAATTTTCTATTCAATAGCACATTATGGAATAGGCACGTACATATTAATATATTATAAAGCAATAATACGGCTTCCCTTAAAACACTATAGACTAAACAAAATTAAAAGCGTCCGACCAATTACAGCTTTCAGACATAGATAAGGTCCTGATTACGTTGCAAGACCAACATCAGCCTGGATTTTGGTTTTAAGAGATAAATGTACTGCAAATGGATATTTCTTGTCTGTGCTTTAAAATAAGATTATATACACTCAGACAAAAAGACAAGTTATTATGAATCCTATCGGAGACTTTTATTTTAAATCTCCATGATACCACGGAAAAGAGAAAAAACCCACCAAAATAACAGTATATTTTTTTTGAAATTATCAAACATGAGAGGGGTCAACAGGTACATGCAAAACAGGATCTACAGCTTTTATGGCACACACAGCCTGTGTTGGTCCGAAATGAAACGAAGATGGACACATGCAACTTGTATTTGGATCAGGATTATACACTTCTCCCTTCTTTATAATGGTTCCGTCAGAGTGTTGGCAGTTCTCGCCTGAAATATAAAATATAATAATTATAATTAACAACAACAACAGCAGCAGCAACAACAGCAGAAGTTACTTAAAATGATAACAGTACGAATTTTTTGACTTGAAACTGATGCTACAATTGACATCTGAAGTAAACAGTAAGATTTACGCCATAAATAATAACAATATCAACATATTTAGGTATGATTTTGCCATCCGTATTCCCGGTTGATGTAAACCTGACCCTTTAATCATGGTATAGATCAGACAATGCATTACAACAAAACAGCTTGTAACTGAAGTCCGCTCATATAAAAACAACTTCCAAAATTTTACAAAGGGTTTCATAAAACGGGTCATATACTGACAGAGGTCCAATATTCCGTGGCAAGCTTATATTTTTTCCATAGACTAGGCAAATCCGAATAAAAATTGGTGCAAAAATATATTATTTATGGTTATTTTCTTTTTTCGAATCGAGCAATTTTTGTCTTGGAAATGATGCCGAAAATGACGTCACGGTATGGTGGTATTACTACATTGAATTATAATCGATTAAAATGCCCACTGATGTACAGTTAAAACAAATCTGAAATAATGTCAACCGGTTTATATTTTGTAAATTAGGTTTCTACAGTACAACAATATTAATAAATACAATGTGCTGTTTGCTTTTATATCTATAATTTTACTTAATTTAGGTGGACTTTTACAAAACATAGTCAACATCTCCGAGCATTAAATTACTTTTTGCTTACATGCGTCGGTTTGACCGAAATACCACATCCGTTCTGAGTATTCTTACTATAGTGTTCAAGGTCCTTATCCGAAGTTTGACGGAAAGGGCCTAAAAGATGCGATTGGTGATGGATAAACAACATTTTATTTACGTTTTGGCACGTGTACCTGATCATACGGTCAAGCACACACGTATTAGTAGATTACTTGAGTTTTATAATTAGGGGTCTGCGTTAATTTTGTCTGCATGTAGTACCACATGTTGTTGATATGTATTTCTGTTTTATTGAGTTCACGGATTCCATCATTCCAAATTCTTTGCCGTTTACCTATACTCACCAAAGACTTAAAAAATATAACGGAATGGGCAAAAAAGATGCAATACGTAAAGTTCAGATGCTCAAGCAAGTATAAAGGTTGTAACATACTTAAATTGCTCTTTAAATGTTCTCACGTAGCCATACTAAATGAAACTCAATTTGCAATTTTTATACTTTTTTTGTACTTCTATTGAAAGAAATATTGGTAATGTTTGCAAAGACTTGAAAACAAATTCTCTTACCGTTAGGACACTGTGGGCAGCATTTTGTAGGATCGTGCACGGCGTCAACACATGGTGTGAAGAAGCAGTCGGCAATAGCACACACAACCCGACCGTCAGCACTACAAAAACAATGTTCACAAGGAGTCGGCTGAAAACTCTGGCCTATTTGGTAAGTTTTTCCGTCACGAACACATACCTGCTTTAATGTAGGCGGGGTAGAATTAGCAAGACAGGATGTTATAACTGCAAGTAACACACAAATAAAAGAAAACATGTCTGTCTTTTATGACTAACACTTTAGAAAGAAATACGGAAAGTAGAGAATACCACGACTTTCTTACGAAGAATCTAAATATGGTAACGGCCTCTCAATGTAGGTTGAATACGTTCACTGATAAGATATATTACACATGTACTTGTAGATATAGTGATACTGGTACATGTAACATTTTAGTATGTAAACATAGAAACATCAAATATTTTATGTAGCACATATATAGAAATCCTGGCATGAAAATAGGATTTTTTATGATGAAGATTACGTTTCGAAATTCTGATACATAACAGATGGAAATTCGTAAGAAATAATTAAATTTGACCCCCCTCTAAAAAAACACACAGACGCGCGCACGCAAGGACGCGCACGCGCCTCACGCACGCACACACGCGCGTGCACGCACATACACAGAGAAAGGCAGCTTAAAGCATTCCTGTAGTCAGCACTCTTTCCAGTAAATGACACAAACACACATAGAACAAGCAAGTTTAAAGAATTCATGTAGTCAGCACCTACACCACTAAATCCAAAAATATATATATCCAGATGTCTTATCTCTGAATGTAATAAGAAGAGTCAATTAAATATAATGTATCGGTTTTAATACCACACATTTTTAATGATGTCGGATCTTTGATTACACGTAACATCGCCAGTGCTAGGGTATTTGGATATTACCGCCACTGAACATTGAGCCTGAAGCATTTGGCAATTTTGCTGTTAAAAGACCTCTCAGGTACTAAGTTTACACATTCTCTAGACTTGTGCTCATTCATATGAATTTGTTTGAGGGGTAAATGTCATTATTTAAGACCATGTCATAACGTTGTCGATGATCACGTCACCAACATCGTACAATGGGCTCAACTAATGGCTGCCGGATCGCTCAGATAAAGTACTAAAATCGAGGTAAGTTTAAACTTAACGGTAAATGTATATCTAAACGCGGCCGCACGAGACCCCAGTATAAAATCATAATGATACGAGCCAGTCATTTATTTTCCCTAACACAACGGCAATATGTGCCTGTGCGCCCATTTTACTCATCATCTATAACATTTTTTTTCGACTTTCAGGCGTAAACAGAGTTAATAGCAGGGCAGTTTATGTGGGTTTTTTATACACGGTTTCCGTGGGTAACTTTTAAGATATAACTTTATCGTTGAAGTGTGCGTTTACCTCGATTTTAGTAGTTATCTGAGCAATTTGGCAGCCAAAAAAAAAGCCCTATCTTCACACCTTTACTGTTAATATTCATGTAGGCGTTATTTTCCTTTTCTTATTTTTCTTTTTTTATTTTACCATTGACCTAACATCAACGTAGCAGAAACTATATATATATACATGTGTATACATATATTAAACAGTTAAAATTGAAACATGAACACAAAAACTTATAATCGGCAAATCCGAATTCATGTATTACTTGCGATTGGATCACGACAATTTGTCCACTTATGCTTGTTGCTTCCAATTTCAAGTTTTCTTTACAAGAAATGTTTTATATAACTAATTGATGCTTAAGCAGTTCTGAATTTTCACCTCGGCCTTATAGCATCTAAGACATATCAATACCATTACGAATGTACAGACCTTTTTCGTATTCCATTCCATTAAAAAGAGTTAAAATTCAAATATTCATTTCGTTGATTCAATTATCAAAGTGATATTTTTAAATATTTAACAATTTGAATTTAGTGAACTGTTAAGTTAAATGACCTGGCAGCAAGGAATTTGGATCAAATATTAAATTGCGTTTACTGTTAACACTTAATTACGTTTAAATTGAATGAAAAATGTACATATTGAGAATAAACGTCTTTAGAGAATTGTAAAATGTTGAATATCAAAGATAATATAGATATATGTAAATATTATTAAATGTATAAACTTTGAAATCGATTCGTTTCGTAGATCAACTGACGGATTTTAATCGGAAAATATGCAATAATTATAAAGCAATATACTAAGACTTAACAATTAGAAACTTATAATTTTGTAGGATTTTAAGTCCAAATCAAGTTTTTTGAGTTTTGTGTCGTTTCTTAAAGTTTCTTCATTTAAAAAAAGGACGAAGTAGAAAAATTAATATTGGTGAATACAAATTTCTTTGACTTTGCATGATGAAACAAATTTATGAAAAAAAATCCTACGTTTTGAGATCTGCTCCTGTAAATTTGTATTACTCGTTTATTGCCCTTTTCAAGAGAAGCTAACTCAAACATACCGATATTTTATTGTTATTAGTTGTTTTCTATTTGTTTTCATTCACAATCATGTAATTCATGCAACCTTTGAGCAAATAATTTTGCAATGCTTCAATGAGTCAACCTACTACAATTTTCTTCAAGGAAAGGGGCACGAATGGTCGAAAGCACCCTTCCCCATGTTTGTCCTTAAATTTGTTTCAATTACGATTTTCTTTAATGGGACAAAGTTTGAGAATAGTCTGATCACTAGTTTAAATTGTGCTTTATGTACATTTTTGTATAAATAAATAAACTGTGTATTTTACTATTTTCATTGTCAGAACTTTCTGTACAATAAAAGTAATTATTCTGAAGTGAGCGATTGATATGAAATTTTACACACAAACTATTGGTCCATACTTTCTTTAAATGGTATACAATCGTCGAAAAATATTTTTAGTGTCTACATGTCAAAAAGCATTAGTGGGGTCCTTTTTTGTTAATTTTATTCGCATGCTCAAACGAGGACAAATGTCATTGACAAAAAAGTGAAAGCAAGGACAAGCAAACAAAATTTCGAGAAAGTTATTTAAGCAGCGATTGACCAATGCATTATCATTTAGCATAATTTTTTTTCTTCACTATGCCATCCTATTTGTTTAGTCTTTTTCATAACATTCAACGTTTTATACAATTATGCTTCTATTCGTGTGTTAATGCACGAGGTTAAAAGGAACGGTCAAATGTTTGTATTTTAATAATCGTTAAATATACAGTAAGGAGATACCATTGTTCCTAGATTTTGTGCTGCCAAAACGCGGATGATTGACGCAATAAGTGTTTCTATCAATAACGAACAAATAAACGTATCATTCAGTAGTTATGGAGCATTCAAATCAATATCATAATTTAAACATTAACTAATAGAAGCAATCAATTCACTCAATGTTTTTGTTTTATGTCATTATTGTTATCATGATATTGTTAATCTGTCTCCATGTTTACAGCCATGTTTAAAATCAATTCAACTGTTTTTTTTTAATAAATTCGTAATTGATTGTCAAATAGATTATAAAGGCCTTAAAATGTAGACTTAATTCTTCTTGAAACAGAGTAATTCTTATATACTTTACATTTCCGCTATTTCACAAACAGGGCAGTCGAATAAGGGAGATCACTAAGGGTATTTTTCAATCTCATAATATTCATAAAAGACAAAGAAATGACGTAATTTAAAACACGCGTCTTGTCTTATACGGTTTTGTAAAATATGGTAAGACAGTTTTTCTAGCACTGGTGTAAACAGTAGATGATCCTGTCTGATACGCAAGAAATGTTCATCCTCATCCATGTAAGTTTATATGACGTCATTCTTGCGCATTTCATGAATACGTCGCATACTGCATTACGTTAAATTACGCTGCTTATAAATGGTCTAAAATTATTTTAATGTAACTATATAAAATGACATGAATAAAGATAAAATTCAAATTATGTCGCATTAGTGTGTGCCAGATGCTGTTATAGCAAGCAATAAAAACAAAACAAAATATTGATACATTTATTATGACTGTGCCTTTGTTTATCCATTTTATAGGAGAGAGAACATGTTAAAACGTACAGTCAGGTTGGCAGTTTAACACCCGTTATTTTTCTTCTTTGTGTATAGTGACAAATCACTTGTAATGTTAGAATATACGATAATACACGATATAAATAAATGCTTACACATCATATTGCGTGAGATAAGACGTCCTCAAAACTAAATGTAATCAGGAAAATAATTTTTCTGCTCAATGTTGTTAAAACTATTGTCTTTCAATTTTCTGTTTTATATATGTTTGTTAGAAAAAAATTTTTTAGTAATCCATCATGTCGTGCATTGTAGTACAAAAATGCACGTTTAATGTTCAAATGCTTTGTAATTTATCACTCAGGCCTATTTTGCATTTACTTCTTGAACAACGTTTTTGTTTTATTTTACTTAAAATAATTAATAGTTTTTCTTCAAATAATGAAAACCTTTTTCGTGGCATATTTAAAAGGTATTTAACTAATTTAAAAGTGAATTATTAATAGGTATATAACTGAAAGACCTTATTGTACCTGGTGTTTTTTTTCTAATAGAACTCGACCTGACAAACCTCTCTTATCAATACAAATTACGCATTAAGCATTTAACCTTTCTATCAATAAATGATAATTGGAAAATGAATGTATCATTCAATAGCTTATGGAAACAATAATTCTCGTATTTTACTGAATTTTATGAATAATTTAGTCCTTCAATGACAGAAGCAATCACACTACAAAACGATTAATATCGTTCTTTTCATTTTCGGTCTGTAGATCTCATTAACAACTAAAGTAATTTTAGCGCCCTATTTTATTTTATGTATGTCACTATGTATACATCATTAACCTTTGGGTAATTTTACATTTAGCATCCAAGGCATCCTGCTGCTTCTATAAGTTTGTTATAATTATGTATGAAAGGTCGATGATCCTGAGATACCTTGAATTATAATATCAATTAAAAGTTGATGTTTAACACTATATTAATGGGAAGATAGCCTCTTTACAAGGAAACAAAATTTATGATATTTGAACGCATAACAATCATATCTATGAAACATAGTTATGTTCATACGATTCAATTTAAACGTTGTGCCGCCGAGGTAAACTGTAACGAAGATAAAGAAAAGAAAGAAAAAACAAAAACAACAACACTAAAATGTTTTCGACGCTTTAAAGAATACAAAGGGTCGATGCCATTTGTGAGTTTAGTCTAGATGACACTAACATCTCAAATGTGTTACTTCTGATGATGCTTACTTGTAGGGATTGGT